ATATCCAAGCAACTAATAATAATAATAATAATAATAATAATAATATATTCTTCATCATTCTCCCTCGATTGAACAGGATTCGACCTCGAATCCGACTCATTTCCGTTGGAGAATTCACCAGGACAGGAATAGGCCAGATTTTCCCCGATCGAACACGAAACTTGAAGGTCGTCCAATCGCACCGGCGAACACAAATTCGGGCAAGTATACAACGATCGGAAAAGCAAAGGGGCCTACTTTCCCATGCAAAATCCCGGAAGCCTTCGGAACAAACGATCCAACAATGTCCCAACAGCTATTGAGTCCCGAAGGCGCGTCCAAAAAACCATCCTTTGCAAAAATATGTTGAAAATTCGGTCCAAACGATGGGGGTGTACGATGGGGGTGTTCTGGCGAAGGGACAATCGTGACGAGGTCCCACGTGGAGCCCAAAGTGCCGTCAATATGTATCTCCGGCACCGGAGGTTCTTCATCAAAAATAGGGGGACTGTCGTAAATATCACACGTGTCGGGTTTGTAATTTGTGGAATCTTCCAACTCGCAGTCAAAGCCTTTTTGTGGTTGTGCAGGCCCAAAATGTGGAACAAATTCAGGCCTTCTTTTGCCCAATTAAACAAATTGGGCCAACAAGTTGCAGACCCAAATGGAGAGAAATCTCCTTCATCAATGTTGTTCCCCAAAATCTGCCGCTGAAATCCCCGCCGCCGCCATAGGATCAACATCATCATCGTCCTCCAAAATCTGCCGAAATTCGCCTGTTGCACCTCCACGGCCTTCACGCTGCTGACGGCCCGGACCTCCACCTCCATCGCCATCCCAAAACTGTCCCCGACGAGGAAGACCTCCCGCTGCCCCAAGATTCTCGTCTTCCCCGAGATCCCCGAACAGAACCCGGTGAGGGTCTCCTGCAATCGGCCCCGGTCCGCGGCCCCAACGCCGCGCGCCATCCGCCTCCTCCCATAGTCCATCGTCGGACTGGCACGCGCCTCGGCGGAGAAATCCGCCGTTCACCGCCGCAGGTCCTTGACCCCGTTCACGTCCTCCCTGCACGCCGCCATCGGCCCGGCGTGGAGGTTTGTCGAAAACATCACCCCACTGTAAGTCGTGGGTCTGATTTTGGTCCATCGATATTTCGTCAAAAACATCACCGGTCAGCGGTAGCGGTGGCGGTGGTGATCGTCGGCGGGGCTCCCCGCCATAACCTCGACCCCCACTACCTCCGCGTATCCCTCCGCAATGGCCCGGCCAGCCCCTTTGCGGTACATACGAACCTCGTTCATCATGGAATTCATTGTCTGACGTAATTCGTCGATCCCCATAGAAAGTTCATCAACCCGATCATCCATACTGTGAATCCGATCATCCATCCGTTGCAATCGGTCGTAGATGGTAGGATTGTTGTTGTTTCCTCTCATTGGCGGCATCGTGGAACGTACCCGATCTCTGGATACCAACTGATGTAGCGAAAGCGTGAACGAATGGGAAAAGATACAATACGAGATACTCTCTCGAATTCGGGATACTCTCCCGAAAGAAACACGATGAATTCATATTCTCATTCATCAAATTCACCCCCCATTACCAAAACAGAAGAGCCCTTTAAATAAAAGCTTCAAACTCAACCCTAGCTTAATATCCAAGCAACTAATAATAATAATAATAATAATAATAATAATAATAATAATAATAATATATTCTTCATCACCCTTTATCATCCGTGAATGGTTACCTGTTAAATCATGCTCATTATATGATGGATGTAGACAACAATGGTATGAGTCACACAAAATTTGTTCTAAGACTTGACATTGGATATAATTTCATTGACCGAGGGATTTGATT